TCTTTGTTCTTGAAGTTGTATTTCTGTTGTTGCATGGGTTATTGGTGGAGATATTACAGTATTTTGTGAGCCTGTAGTGCTGTTAAGGTTGTTGCGTTTGGGTTGAGTACGAGTGGGTTGTGTTTGTGATAACGTGGTGTGTTTCTGAGAAGAAAGAGTATTGTGTTTTTTAGCTGTGCTAGGCCGTGTGGGTGAGGGCGTCTTTGTAGTGCGTGTTGCGTTACTTGTATTTATTGCGTTTGTTTGTTCAGGAAGTTGTGTTTGTGTGATTGGTTGAGTTAAGTTTGGAAATATTACAGTATGTTGTGTGTCATGTTGTGAGTCTAAAGTGCTGTTTAGGCTTTTACGTTTGGGTTGAATACTAATGGGTGGTGATAATGTGGTTTGCTTCAGAGGTGAATCTCTGATTGTATATGTTGTATCATTTGTTGTACTTGTTTGTTCGGTAAGTTGTATTTGTGTGTTTGTTTGGGTTAGAGGTGGAGATATTACAGTATGTTGTGAGGGAGTGCTGTTGTTTACATGTATACGTTGTGGATCATTTCTGTATGTAGTATCTTGTGTTATGTTTAGAAATTTACGAACAATATGGCATGTGTTGATAATGATATTATTATTATGGTCGGTGTTTCTTGTGAGAACTCAGGTCTAGCCTGGTTAACTAATCGCACGGATTAAAATCAAGTAACGATTAGTGTCTGTGCCTGTGTCTGGTGAAGTTATTATTATTATTATTATTATTATTTTTGGCACTGATTATTAGATGATACTGTGTATTAAGTTAGGTACGAACGAGGGTACGAAAGCGTTCAGAATGTGGGGAAAAGGGGTTATTTCTACAAATGAAAAATCTGAAAATAAATTTTTATTGGAAAAGTGTTTTCAATATTCATCTTTCTTCATCTTATTCTTAGGGCACTTTTTCATTCTTGGCTTTTTAGTGTGATTCTGTGTTCTGTTGACTTTTTTTACAAGAAGGAGCGGTCTGCGCGGTCTAGAGCACCAACGCTTGCTGCGTTGCGTAATTAATTCCTAAAAATAACAAAAACAATGTACATACAGTGTGTCCCAGGTAGAACACACCATAGGGAAACGTGCGAGGAAACGTGTATTTTTTTGCGTTCAACGTCAATATCTTTCTGGCATCAGGCAATAACGTACGTTGAACGCTAACTTCGAGTACATATTATTTAACCTCAATGCAGAATAACGTATTTCATACCTTTAACTTTTATTGTTTTAAAATCGCTTTCATTTTTGATGTAAATGTTTGCTCATTTTATATTTATGTTTTGGTTGGATGGTTTTGGCCCCAACTCAAATTTTTATGTTTGATGATTCATTTAATTTATGGAGGTTATTGAATTATTTCCTGTGTGTATATGTACGGGACTTGTTGTTTGTAAACCAACACCGTTGTCCGTGCAGAGACAGTGACGGGGGTGGCAAATAACTGTAACCACATTAGTTCCTACACCTAATACCGGGACTGTAATGTAATGCCTGGTTACTCCCGATCTCGCTCCCGATCGTGTGTCCTATTTGCGGTTGAGACTGCAGTGGATCTCAGCTGTTTTTAAAGGTAGAGACTTGCGGTTTTGGTGACCTTGTGCCACTTTTTTGGGAAACTTTTAATGCCACAAACAGAATCAATCTAACTACGTATGTGTATGAGCGAGTGTATGAGATACAGGGTGTAAATGAAAAGTTTGACTTATCACATCTTAGTGTAAGAAAGAAAAAAGGAAAAAACTGACTATTTTAGATATTTCCATATCCATGGTAAAAATCGCTGACGTTGGGTCATATCTCAGAAACGGTTATCCAAAGATTTTTTTACTACGCCACAGGATTCTACGTAAAAGATTTAAACAGTAAGTTTTTGCCAGGGGTAGTAAGATGTGAATGGTGTTCAAAAAACAATCTTCACTTAAACATGTCTAAATGCAAAGTAGTTTCGTTTTCAAGAAAATCTCAACCTCTTTTACATCCTTATCAATTTAATGATATTCAGTTTAAACGGTGTACATCGGTCACGGATTTGGGTATTATATTTGATCTTAACTTTCTTTTTCGGAACATATCGGTGACTATTGCTTCTGCTTTAAAAATGCTTGGCTTTATTATCAGAAATTGTCGTGATTTTTTCAATATTTTTGCTATCAAATCTCTATATGACGCTTATGTGCGATCCAAACTTGCGTATGGTTCTCTTATTTGGTATCCTTACTATGACTGCCATAAAACAACCCTGGAAGCAGTGCAGCGTAAGTTTCTGAAGTTTTTATCGTTTAAATTGGACAGAGTTTCTCGCAGAGTTTATCCCGCAATTGGTACTGATCATCAACTACTGTTATCCCGATTTCAGGTACATTCCTTAGAAGTTCGCAGAACTCTGTCAAGCCTTAACTTTCTCTTCAATTTGTTACACAATAACCTAGATTGTCCATCTCTTCTTTCCCTCATTCGGTTCCATGTGCCACGTTCTTCGGCTCGTAATGTATATACTTTCAATTGTGCTAAGGCCAATACAAACTTACTTTGTAAATCACCAATATTTGTTATGGTAAGTAACTTTAACAAAATTGCTAATATGTGTGATGCTTTCTTGAATTCACTTAATAATGTAATTTGTTCTATGTAGTCCGGTAACGAATTAAAGAGCGATGGAATTACACACTTGATTGTTTTTTGTCCATACTTGTTGAAGTAGCGTGGAACATTGTAAGTTGGTCTTCTTGTTGCATGCCTGTGCTCAGTTCTTCTTTTGTGTTCATTTTCGCCGAAGTATTGTACCAGATCCCAATATTTATAGTAATTTGTTGGTGTTAATGTGTCACAATTTATTATTAGTTCGTGTTTATTTTTATTGCCTTGTTTGTGTATTAATTTTTGCATTTTATGTTGCAGGTTCTCCAATTTCTTTATGTGTACTGCTTCTGCTGATCCCCAAACTTGAATTCCCTACCGTATATGCGACTCAACTAGTGATTTATAAACTACTATTAACGTTTTAGTATCAATTATTTTACTTAGCACGTATAAACATCCTACCGTTCTATTTAATTTATTACATTATATTACTTATGTGTGTGTCGTATTTTAATAGTTTATCAATGTATACTTATTCCTAAGTACTTTGTTTCATTAACAGTTTGTATTATTTTACAATTGCACTAAGTGGATTGTGTATAACATGTACATTTGTGTATTTTAATTTCTACATCGGTTACTCTCTGCATGTGCGCTGTATGAAATACCATTGTGACAGTTTTTTCTTCGTTTATGAATATGTTTCTGCCATGTGTCCATTTTACTAGGTTGTTTATTTCTTCTTGCACAATTTTTTTACACGTTGATATTTCACGGTGTGAGTACATTAATACCGCGTCGCCGGCGTACATATATAACTGTGCTTTTTGTATTCATTTATATATAACAAAAACAGTATAGGGCCCAAGTTACTGCCTTGGGGAACTCCACAATTGGAAGCCCTCTTTGTGCTAAATTCATTACCAATCTTTACAATGAAATATCGTTGTTTTAAGTAGTTTTCAAACCATAATAATGCTCTGTCTGCTATTCCAACACTTTTTAGACACTTTAATAATACGTTTGGTTTAATTTAATAATAATAATATCTAATAATAATAATATTTATTTATTTGCAAAATGTACATAATAAAATAAGCACAGGAAGCAACATAACGTCATATACAGTAAATACAAGAAGCTGGAAGACGAAGACTCAACGATGAGGAAATACTTCTACACTATAAGGTTCAATATGTAAGACTAGGTGGTGCACCAATTGTTTGAACTGTTTTACGTTGCCATGGAGAGAAAAGACAATGTGCTTCAAAAAAGGAAACCATTCGATTGTACATTACGCGCTCGAAGATTTTTGAGAAGGTTGATAGAAACTTATTGGTCGATAGTTAAGAGGGAGAACGAGGATCACCTCCCTTATGCAGAGGTTTTATGATGGCAGTTTTAAATTAGATTTAGATTAGAGACTACTTGCACCCTCCTTAAAAGTGGATAGCTCACGTCTTTCGTACCGTGAAATGGCATTAGAAAATCGAACCCGACATCGATCGCCTCAAAAGATCGATCGACATCCCTTATATTTGGCGATCTTCGGAAGAGTAAACAGGTGTGCATTTTTAAATATTTCTTGCTTTTAAACGTTCCTTTTGGAAGTCGAACCGCCACTGAGTGCTCTTGTAAAGCAGACGTTTGTTTATCTTAAGAACGCCACTGCCAGGAGTGGGTTGATGGTAAAAATGCAGTACATATGGTGAACTATTCACTTAATAGGAGGTCGTTAAAGAAGAATTTGTTCCTATTGTCGATATAATACGTTACTTAAGTACAGAAACTTTTATTATTTGGTATAATAAAGACGAATTAACGACGGCGATTTGCGATAATTCGTTAATTACGCGGGTACGAGGCGCGCTCTTCTTTTTCTCTGCGTGTCTATTTTCAGGTTGGTTTGTCAAAACGTTAATCACATGCAGGGGATGCGTAACAGGGGTTGGTAAGCTGTACTGAATGTGCCTACAACTGCATTACAATATGAATGGGAGAGGCAAGGTAAGTTGGCACCCCTTCTTCCATGCAATCACATGTTTTCTACGCACACTAATTAAAATTCGGTAATAAAGAATCGATCGAAGTAATGTGAAAAAAGGTGGTAAATAAATACGGAATCGATAGGGAAGAGGAGCAAGGCAATCCTCGGTTTTCATTGCAGGACTTTAATCAAACAGTCCGCCTGTGCCCGGAAAATCGATAGGAAACTTGAAAACAACAGCCTACACCATTAAGCGCTACCACGATTCTCGCACGATCAGGATGCTGTCGCGGCAGCTCTTCTCGTGCAAGAAAACCAGCCACAATTAACTTTTATGGAATGTAAGAGAACCGGCAACTGTCATAAGAACGCCATGGGCAGGTACACAAAACGAAAACGGAATCCTAATATATTTACTCACCAATAACGCTAACTTTCACACACTGAAGATTACTGGAACTGGTGTATACCATTAGAATATTGAAACAATTAACACATATCGGAGGAGCGGAGTTCAACAACACATTTACCACATTTTACAACCCTTAAATCGTCTCGTCTCTGAAACCATTACATCCCGATCATACTTCAGAAATACACTTAAAGTAATATCACAATATTATCAAATTTAGTCGGCTGTGTACTTGCAGTTAGAGGTTAGAAATGACGATGAGTCAATATTGCTTTCAGTTCGATGTATAAACACGTATTTGGAAATGAAGCGGAAACGCAATTTAATCTAACCCTAATATTAAATGAACACGATGCCGGTATGTACAACTAAAACAATTCATAAGGCGAATGCGACAAACATGCAGAAAGTACCGACTAAACTGATGGCTGCTCAAACACTGAACCTTTCTTTACCCCACCCTGAAATCTACAGACGTTAGCGCATGAGTCTACCTGAATGCATAGGCGCACCCGGCGCGATACAAAATCATTGGAAAACCCTTATTTACTCTATCTCCTTACTTTTAACAATCTAACCCTCTAAGATTTTTTATTTCCCACGAGGTGGAAATTGTTAGAAATTTGCGCTTCCGCCGGCGCGCGTCGTAACAATTCGCAATCGGTATGGGTAGTATTTCAAAAATTGCACGCCTAGGTGTGTGATATGATAAACAATAAACAATCTTAATTTGTCATACTTTATATCTATGTATTTAAATACGATTTAGTTCGATAAAATTTTCAAAAATCGAGAAGTCGTTTTATTGTTATACTACAAAGAGTTGGCGATTATCATTTTTTACTATTGTAATTGATACATTAAAATTGATTGTTATAATAAATAAAAACAAACTTCATAACCACCCGATCTTGACTCGGATTAAAACAAATTTTCAATTTTTTGCGGTTTCAATACAATAATTATTTAAAAAAATATCTGCCACTTCAAGAGCAAAAGTTTTATTAAAAATAGAAAAATCAGCAAAACGAGTTCCTATTGCGAAGGCTTTATTAATGCGGTAGTATTATGAACCATACTTCGTTTTTATTTTGTATTGCTGTCTGTCTGTCATCTGTGTCAAGCTCTCGAAATCCCCGAAGACGCCAGCACGTTCTGTGGCGCTTATTCAGTCGCGGGGGTTGTAATTATTGTCGTACATTAAAAATTATTGTTTCTATGATAGATTTTGTTTATAGGACCACCAATCAACCCTACAATTGTCTCCTCAAAATATAATCTCTTTGCCTTCTAAAATCTCGAAATTTTTAATGAAATTCGCTCTTACAACATATCAATATTCAGTCGAGGGGGTTGTTAATTATTGTCCTATATTAAAAATTATTGTTTCTATGATAGATTTTGCTTATAGGACCACCAATCAACCCAACAATCGCCTCCTCAAAATAAAATGTCTTCCCGTTCTAAAATATCGAAATTTTCAATGAAATCCGCTCTTACAAACATATCAATATTCCTGGCGCAGTTTAATAGCAATATTTAAAAAGTCGCCGCTGTAATTACTAGAGTTGTATGCAGCTATCCATTTAGTGATCCTTCGAGGGGATGGAATCCACCCTTAACGTAAAATTGGTTTAACGCCCACGCAAAAAAAGGTTTTAAATCCTCATGCGTGTCAAAACGATAAGATTCATATTTTGTACCACCCAAAAAATTGCGGTTCATTTAACGATCGCCGGAGGGGGGCAGAATACTTTCAAAAAGTATTTGAATACTAAATAGTACCTAAATACTTCACACAAATCAAAGGTATTTGAATACTAAATACTTTTACGTCCAGCACAAGCGAATACTTTAAAAAATAAGTATTCAAATAGAAATACTTTAGAATGTATTCGAATACTTTGAAAAGTATTCGAATACAGTAAAAAGTATTCAAATACTTGTCACTCAAATACATTAAAAATTAAAAATAGTATACTAGATAAAAGTCTTAATACTACTTATACTTTGTATGGGGTTAGCTTTTTTTATATTTCTATTGTTATATACAAATTTAAGGGGAGTAAAAGCGTATTATTATTATTATACTATTATATAGGAGGTACCTACCAGGACCTTTCTTATACCAGTTATATCCTTAAGAATACATGTACCAGCTTTCAAAGCGATCGTACGTCGTGCACATGATACGTACGCCTTTCTGAAATTAATCCTAGCGATTTTGGAACAGATCCATTTTTGACCATCCGTTTGTCCGTGTGCATGATAGTTGGTTTAGAAACGTGCGATCGCTTTGAAAATTGGTACACATGGTCTTAAGGATATAAGAAAGGTCCCTATTGTTTTCAAGTTACGTAGACTATCGAGTCAAAAAGTTTCACTCCAGGATCGTTCGGTATACAGTTGTATCGGATTTTTATATTTGATTTTGTGACAATGGAAACTTTCCCTAAACATTTCTAAATTGGTCTCAAATATTTGAACAACTTAAAAGTACTGCCTTTTTTTGAGGCCGGAAAAAAAATTGTCTCAGATCGACCCGGAAAAAAAATTTTCTTCAAGAATGTGGCCTGTAGAATCCATAATTTCAAACAGTTCCAAGATTGGGCTACTAGTTCAAAAGTTACAGCCCTTTGAATTTTCTTTCGAAATTGGTTTCTAGTCTATAACTTTTGATTGAGAAGTCTGATCGAAAAATTACGAATTGTTTTGGATTCTACGCACCAAAATTAATAAGAAAAAGTGTTTTCCCGAGAAATTTTGGTGCAGTCGATTTTTGATAAAAAAGGAAGGTTGTACACTGCCTTTTTTTGAGGCCCTCAAAAAAAATTGTCTCAGATCGACCCGGAAGATAAATTTTCTTCAAGAATGTGGCCTGTAGAATCCATAATTTTAAACAGTTCCAAGATTGGGCTACTAGTTCAAAAGTTACAGCCCTTTAAATTTTCTTTCGAAATTGGTTTCTAGTCTATAACTTTTGATTGAGAAGTCTGATCGAAAAAGTACGAATTGTTTTGGATTCTACGCACCAAAATTAATAAGAAAATGTGTTTTCCCGAGAAATTTTGGTGCAGTCGATTTTTGGTAAAAAAGGAAGGTTATACACTGCCTTTTTTTGAGCCCCGACAAAAAAATTGTCTCAGATCGACCCGGAAAAAAAATTTTCTTATAGAATGTGGCCTGTAGAATCCATAATTTCAAACAGTTCCAAGATTGGGCTACTATTTCAAAAGTTACAGGCCTTTGAATTTTCTTTCGAAATTGGTTTCTAGTCTATAACTTTTGATTGAGAAGTCTGATCGAAAAAGTACGAAATTGTTTTGGATTCTACGCACCAAAATTAATAAAAAAAAGTGTTTTCCCGAGAAATTTTGGAGTAGTCGATTTTTGGTAAAAAAAAGGAAGGTTAAGTATTCAAATACTATGCGAAGTATTCGAATACTTCTCAAAGTATTCAAATACCTTGCGAAGTATTCGAATACTAAATATTTGTGAAAGTATTTGAGTTACAAATACAAATCTGCTTCCATAAAGGTATTTAATTACAAAGTATTTGAATACTTTAAAGGATTTGAATACTAAAAAGTATTTACAAAATCGAATACTGCCCAGCTCTGGTTTAACCCCACGCAAAAAAGGTTTCAATTTCTCATGCTGGTCAAAACGTTAAGATTCATATTTTGTATCATCCAAAAAGTGGGCATTTATTTAACGACCGTCGAAGGGAGTTAAATCCAACCCTAACGTACAAAAAAAATTGGTTTAACCCCCACGCGAACGAAGTTTCATATTCTCACGGTTGTCAAAACGTTAAGGTTCATATTTTGTACCACCCAAAAATTGGCATTCATTTAACGATCGCCGGAGGGGGTGAAATTTTCCACTAACGTACAAAAATATTCGTTTAACTCCCACGCAAAAAAAGTTTTAAATTCTCATGCTTGTCAAAACGTTAAGTTTCATATTTTGTACTTCCCAAAAATTGACGACCTTCGGAGGGGGTGAAATCCACTTTTAACGCACAACCATTGAATAAGCACTAAGGTGCTTATTCAATGGCACAACAAAAGTCATTTAACCCCTACGCAAAAGTTTGAAATTCTCATGCCTGCCAAACGTCACGATTCATATCTCCTACCACTAAAAAAAATTGGCATGCATGAATCATTTAGCGACCGTTTGAAGGGGTGAAATATACTCCTAACGTACAAAAAAATTCGTTTAGTCCCCACGCAAAAAAGGTTTCAAATTCTCATTCCCTGTCAAACGTCAAGATTCAGATTTACTACCACCCAAAAAATTGGCATTCGCTCCGTGACCGTCGTAGGGGTAAAATCGGCCTTTAACTTACAAAAAAATTCATTCTACCGCCACGCAAAAAAGGTTTCAAATTCTCACGCTTGCTAAAACGTTAAGGTTCATATTTTGTATCATCCAAAAAAATTGGCTTTCATTTAGAGACCTTCGGAGGGGGCGAATTATGCCCCTAACGTACAAAAATATGCGTTTAACTCCTACGCAAAAAAAGTTTTAACTTCTCATGCTTGTCAAAACGTTATGATTCATATTTCCTACCACCCAAAAAATTGGCATTTATTTAGCGACCGTCAGAGGGGGTGAAATCCAGCCCTAACGTACAAACGAATTCGTTTAACCCTCAAGCAAAGAAGGTTTCAAAATTTAGTTTATTATATTATTATATATTTAGTTCGTTCTTTTTGCATTTGGTAGCTAATAGCTCTGGCACCTCATCCAACTGCGCAATGTCAACTTTTTTATATATGGAGATGTTTCTTTGAAATTTTCCCCATAGACTCTTCTAGTGAAGGCAAACAGATCGCATATTTTAAACATCAGGTGTGTGCATGCGCAGCCTGTGCATTGTGCAATGTTAAGTTTGTTTATTTATATGAATATTTACGCCATAAGTTATTATCCTTTGTACACATAAATAGTCCGTTGTATGACCTTTCGGGAAGTTCTAGTCAATTTATGGAAACTGCGCTAAAGTTACGCGCTTTATTTATTTATTATTATCCCTCTCTTGTTCTGGGCCATCAACAGGCTTAGGCCCAATTACAGAGTGACTCCCATAATGCTTTTTAAGGTTTTTCATTTTTTTTATTTATTTCGCGAATAATCCGTCAAATAAGTAGGTGGCAGTGTTGGTAATTATTATATACAGACACTATTTTTAGCGCATTTTCCAACAAAGTTAGCTGCCAGTTTCTCTGCCCGTCTGTTCGTCTGCCCGCCCGCTCGAGGCCTTAACCACTCAGTTTTCAATATATTTAGTCCGTTCTTTTTGAATTCGGTAGCTTATAGCTCTGGCGCCTGAGCCATGAAAAATCTTGACGATTAATATGTGCATGTGCAGTCTGCGCAATATTTATTAATGTATTTTGTTGAAATTTTAACCACCA